TTTAAGTCTTTAATCCATGTTGAGTGAATTTTTGTGTAAGGTGAAAGGTAGGGGTCTTGCTTCATGCTTCTGCACGTGGAAATCCAATTTTCCCAGCACCATTTATTGAATAGACTGTCTTTATTCCAGGGATTGGTTTAGGATCCTTGATCAAATATAAGTTGGCTGTAGATGTTTGGATTGATTTCTGGTGTTTCAATTCTGTTCCATTGGTCTATCCATCTGTTTCTGTACCAGTACTATGTTGTTTTGATAACAACTGCCCTGTAGTATGTCCTGAAAACTGGTATTGTGATGCCCCTGGCTTTGTTGTTGTTGTACCAGATTTCTTTAGCTATTCAAGGTCTCCTGTGTCTCCATATGAATTTCAGCATCATTTTTTCGAGATCTGAGCAGAAGGTCTTCAGTATCTTGATTGGTATCACATTGAATCTGTAAATTGCTTTTGGGAAAATGGACATTTTGATGATATTGATTCTTCCAATCCATGAGCATGGAAGATTTTTCCATTTTTTGGTTTCCTCTTCTATTTATTTCATTAAGGTTTTGTAATTTTCATCGTAGAGATCTTTAACGTCCTTGGTTAAGTTTATTCCAAGGTATTTGATTGTTTTTGTAGTTATTGTGAATGGGATTGAGCTTAGAAGTTCTTCCTCAGCCGTGGCATTGCCTGTGTATACAAAGGCTGTTGATTTTTGTGCATTGATTTTATATCCTGCTACTTTGCCAAACTCTTCTATGAATTCCAATAGTCTCTTAGCAGAGTTCTTTGGATCCCCTAAATAAAGAATCATATCATCTGCAAAGAGGGGTAGTTTGAGTTCTTCCTTCACAATTTGTATCCCTTTAATTTCTTTTCTTGGCTATAGCTCTGGCTAAAACTTCGAGAACTATACTGAATAGCAGTGGTGAGAGTGGGCATCCCTGTCTGGTACCAGATTTCAGTGTTCTGCTAATATCTCACTAAAAATGCCTTCTAATCCTTTCTCCCTCTCCATGCCTTCAGGAACTCCTAGAACCCGAGTGTCGAGTTTTTTAATAGTATCCTGAGGATTCCCAACAATATTTTTTAGACTTCTAATTTCTTCTTCTTTTCTTTGGTTTGACTGTATATTTTCCTGTTCTCTGTCTTCTATGTCCAATATTCTCTCTTCTGCTTTACCCATTCTGTTTTTAAGGCTCTCTAATGTGTTTGTCATTTATCTATTGAATTCTTCATTTCATTATGATTTCTCATCACTATCACAGTTTCATGTTCTACTAGTTGTTTCATTTCATTTTGATTCCTCCTTAATATTTCATTTTCACGTGAGAGATTTTCTATCTTGTCCATTAATGATTTCTGTAGTTCAAGAATTTGTTTTTGAGAACTTCTTAATGTTCTTATCAATTTTTTGAGATCTACTTCTTGCATTTCTTCTATCTCATCATCTTCATAATCTTGAATTGGGGTGTCTATTTCATTTTGGGGTGTCATAGTGTCTTCCTTGTTCTTGCTACCTCGGTTTCTGCGTTTATTGTTTGGAATATTGGAGATATTCTTTGGTTTATTCGGTGTGGTGTTTTTTCTCATTATACTGTGACTCTAGATTAAGTGGACTGTCTTCTTTTGATGGATCCTTAGAGGCTGTGATGGGTGTGGCCAGAGAGCTCTGTTTGGTTCTTCAGGTTAAGGGTGTGCCAAAGGTGACTCACCCAGATTGTTCTCTTGCTTGCTTGCTTGCTCTCTCTCTCTCTCTCTTTTTTTTTTTTTTTTTTTGACTCAGTTGGGAAGTAATTCCACACAGCTGAGTGGAATTGAGGGTAGTTGATGTATGAAATCTGGCCCCTGTGGGTATTTGTCTGTTTACCCCTGGGACCACACAAAGAGTTTATGCAGCCCTCAGTGTGGTCTCAAATTTCTCTGCAGTCTCTCACCAGGTTGCCCAGGTTACCGAATTTGTGTACTCGGTGAGTTATCTTGCCCCCCCGCCCCGATTTCCACAGTCTCAGTTCCTTAGCTCCACACTTTCACTAGGTCTTAACCTCCTGTTATTTCTCCCCACCAGAGTCAGGTGTTTCTGCTTGGCTAATCACGGGTGCTGCTTTACATACATAAAATGGCACCTTCTCTTTGTCTTCCCCAGATTTGTAAGGTGAGTGGAGAGAGAGGCTAATATCCGTGCCGGTTCCCCTTATTTATTCATTTTTTTCTCTCCTCCAGTCAGCCTGGTGAACTTTCCCCAGTGGGGCTTCAGGCCTTGTTCCCTGTAGGCTCTTTCTGCCTTTCCCCGCCAATGTCTTGGGTTACCGGGGTTTTTGTCTCACCTCCCCTTCTAGCGCTGGCGCGCAGACTCTGCAGCTTGGCTTCTGCGGCAGCTCAGTTCTCGCGGCTCAACTTCCACACAGTGGGCGACCTTGCTCTCTCCGTAGGTCCTCTGTGTCACATCCACTAGATCCGGAAGAGTTTCCTCTGCAATTTTTTCCTGAGCCTTTTACTGAGGCTACAGTAACTCCACTTTTATTAAACTATCTTTTCCCAGACTGTCGGTGCACGCCTCACTATTCCGCCATCTTGGCTCCTAAGCCTCTCATTGTTTTTATGCTTGAACTTTCTAAATTCAGAGTTCTTCAAACATTTTAAATAAAATTACAGCTCTACAGAAATTGTTGTATATAATGTAATAGGATTTTACAAGATACAATTTAGCAGATGAATTGTAATGAATTAGTAATTTTAAACTCCTTTGAATTATAACACTTCAGAGCAGAAATAGTTGTTTTTAAAAATTTTTATTTATGGAATAAATATTTTAATAGAAAATGATTTGCAAACTAGTGATTTTACTAAGAAATAGCTAATACCTTCCCAGGATAAAGAAAAATAATCATAGTAGTGAATCCCATGTAGTTGGTATCTAGAGTGCTTATAACACCTTCTCTCAAAGACCAGATATCATAGCCTCATATAAATCACTAGTTTGCAAATCATTTTCTATTAAACACAAAAATTCACCAGCTTAACTTTTATTGACAAGTATCTCATCTGCATATATCAATAAATCCTGCTGTTCCTAAATATTTTGTGACTGAGAGAAGTTATAATGACAGTTTAAAAGCTAAGGACTTTACAAGGTTAGCAGTGGGGATGAGAAAATGATTCTTGTTGCTAAAACCAGTAATCCTACAAAATAGGGGCTGCTTTGCTCAAATAAACTTGTGAGTGTTTGCTATAGACAATCATTATGCTACTGGGTTCCCTAGACTAGGGTCTGCCTTCTACTTGTACTTTTATTTGACTTTGGAAAGGTCCTGGTTTTGCTCTTAGAACCAGTTTCTCATAGTTAAATCAGAACTAAGACTAGGACCATCTTTACCTGTTCGTCTTAGCTTTCTCTAATCTCCTAAAGATTTGTTAAGAAAAAGAAAGAGGGAGGGTATGTTGTGAAACTAGGTGAAACTGGATGATATCTATGCTGAGTTTCATGATTATAGAATACCTTATGAAGACACTATTCATTTTATGCAGATGAAACACTATGTAAATTAAGCCAGGAATTAAATTGTGCTATATAAGGTGGTATATTTTTTAATATAATAAATATTTTAAAAGGGACAATCAAAGAAGGAGGTACCTTTCTCTGAAGGGAGAAGAGAACTTCCACTTTGCATACGGCCCTGTCTAAATACCGACAGAGTTTGTGGACTCAAAAGGCTTCCACAGCCTTGGCAGCTCATGTCAAGAGCCTTGGGTGGTCACTGACGTAAAAAAGAAGAGTGTAATCGTTAAATTGACAACAGGAGTCACTGTGCACTTACTCCCCATGTTGGACCTCAGTCCTTAATGAGGTGTACTATGAGAATTAACAGTAAAACTTGTTTGCAAGGGGCTGGTGCTGTGGTGCAGTGGGTTAAAGCCCCGGCCTGAAGCGCTGGCATCCCATATGGGTGCCAGTTCTTGTCCTGGCTGCTCCTCTTCCAATCCACCTCTTTGCTATAGCATGTGAAAGCAGTAGAAGATGGCTGAAGTCCTTAGGCCCCTGCACCCGCGTGAGAGACCCGAAAGAAGCTCCTGGCTCCTGGTTTCAGATTGGTGCAGCTCCAGCCTTTGCAGCCATCTGGGGAGTGAACCATCGGATGGAAGACCTCTCTCTCTGTCTCTACCTCCCTCTGTAACTCTTTCAAATAAGTAAAATAAATCTTTAAAAAAAAACTTGTCTACAAACTGTACTTTATACCTTGTGTACCTGTGTGGGTGCAAAGAGTTGAAATATCTACTTAGTATAGAGTTGGTCTTCTGTATATCAAGTCAAATAAAAACGAATCTTAATGAAGAATGGAATAGGAGAGGGAGTAGGAGGTGGGATGGGAGTGGGGGTTGGAGGATGGGAACGGGGCGGGGGAAGAACCACTATATTCCTAAAAGATGTACATATGGAATTTGTATTCATTAAATAAAAGCCTTCTAAAAAAGGGGGGGACATGGGGATAAAATTAGATTGTGTCTTTATGCCATCTGAGGATAATCACTCGATGAAAAGAAACACTTTTATGTAAATTAGTTGAGGGAAAACAACAAGAAGCATTTGCAAATCTCATAGAGAATATAGTATTTTAAAAGTGTATTCCTTTTTTGTTTATAAAAGTAGCATAAGCTTATTTTAGGAATTCTATAAAATCCAGAAATATATGAGGATTAAAATAATAATCCTATCACTAAAAATTATATCTGTGAACATTCTGAGGCATAATATACAGTACTCTGATTTATTGTGTTCAGTTCTAACTATGCTTGAGGAACTTTACTTGTGAATGTTAATTGCTGTTTCCTTCCTCATCTTTTTCATCTTCTAAATGCAAAATGTATTTCCTTAAAAAAAATTCCAGGAGATAGAACTTTACTGAAAACTGTCAGCTTCTCTAGATACCTTTACAATAGAAAAACCCTTTCTGCCTGCCCCTACATGGGCAGGTCGATTTTCATTGAAAATGGCTTCAAGCTGGTTCTAATATTTACTCACTTATGCAGGTGCGTTCGTCAGCATGGAGTCTGTATCCTGTATCACATTCACAGTGGAAGGTGCCCAGAGTGTTAATACAGCGCTGCTGGCAGCCTCCATTCACCACGGCACATTCATCGACATCTAGAGGAGGAAGACAGATGGCCGGGATTACAATGTCATTCCAATGTCAGCTTCCGAGAAGTGGCGCAATATTTCTTTGATACACAGTATGTGTTATATTGTACAAAGGCACCGTCTCTGTGGCCACAAATCTTTGCTTGTTTGATCCATTTGCTCCAGCGTGTAAACAAGAAAATGTAGATAGAAACTTTATTGAGTTTTCTAAAGCCCAGCAATGATGAGCATAGGGATTGTCTCAATTTTCTATTCTTCACATACTGGCTAATTAGACAGATCCAAGATATAGATATTTCCTTGGGGAAGGAAAACTGGAGGGGAGAATTACAATGAGCTCCTGTATCTAGAGCAGCACACTCTAGTAGATAAACACCTATTATTGGTCTGACGCTGCTGAACAAAGCCAGTAATAGAGTTAAGACCTTGAATCTCCTTCTCCTGTGTTATTGTAGACACCAGGGCAGAGACAGATAAATTCAAATGAAACCATGGTCGGGTGCTCTTAAAAACTCGTCAATATCTTTGCTCCACAGATCCAGCCTCTTCCTTCTCACTCAAGCTGTCACTTTCTTAAATACCATGTTTATATCAGAGGTTACTTTAATTTTAGAAAAAAGATGGGAAGAGGTCAAGATTTATGATCGCCCGTGTCTTATGATCAGCCAAGGTCATGACAGATGAATTTAATATTCATCTTTTATTAGGAAAGATAAATGAATTCATCCCTGAAGAACTGTACTTCATTGTGCCCTTTGTGATCCTGATTTGTGTACTGAGAAGCACAGAAAGAAGAGATTTACAAACCTGGGGAGAGATTTTCAGGTGGATAAAGAACTTCTACTTTTTGGAGAAGGGAGATTTTAAAACAAAATTTCTGGTTGCATGGGAAGTTTACAAGTAACACCCATATTCTGGAACAGAAGAGACCTCATGTGGGAAACATGTGACTTATGCAGAGACTCAACTTCCTTTGCTCCAGCCCCAGATATTCTGGCCAACAACGTTGGGTGTGAACACTGTTCTCTATATTATCAGTCATCCTACAGGACAATTAGTTCTACATCAGGTGACACTAATTCCACGGGGCAAGATCTTTATTCAAGAGGACCTCAAAATGGAGATGGAATATTATGCACTGACTCATTCCTTTGCATGCTAAACTTCTATGATTTATAATGAATGTTTTGTACCATAATAAAGACTAGAAGGTATGACCTGAGGAAAGCAGAAGAGTTATCCCTTACTTGGCTTTTTTTTTTTTCTGGTGAAAATATATGTGTATGTATATATATGTGTGTGCATGTGTGTATCTGCATGAGGAATAATTGTCACAAAACAAGTGCATCATTTTAAAATGGTTTGTTTTCAATATTTTACATAATTTAGCACTTTCCTTCAACAATGAGATATTCTGCAGTAATTCGAGATACTTTAAATAAATCTTATTAGAGGTTAGAATTTCTGACTTCTCAAAGTGTTCATATTTTTATTACATTTTGAGTCTATATAATCAAACCTCTAGGTCTTTTACATATAAACTAATGTTAAACGAAAGTTCTCCATTTGTACTTGTACTTTATGCATGGCTTTAATATTTATGCTGGCCAAATTTTTATCTTTCTGTCTTTAGGGTATTATTCTGCAAAGTTGAGATAAAATTTTGAATCTTAATGTTGTCAACCTCTGAATTGGATTAGATATCCTTCCCAGGTCTTTTATTTTACATTTATAAATAAAACTCCTAATTCTTAAGAGTAATATATTTTAGATGATAAATGGTTGCACCACAATTAAAAACTTTTATAATATACCTATAGGTTTATTAAATATATCTAAAAACATTTAAAGTTTGATTTTTATTTGAAAGGTAGGGAGACAGAGACAGAGAGATCTTCTATTTTCTCGTTCACTCCGCAAATGCTCACAACAGCCAAATTGAAACTAGGAACCCAGAAGTCAATCTAGGTCTCTCCCATGTGGCTGTCAGGAATCCAAGTACTTGTACCACTTGCTGCCTCCCTAGGGTGCACATAAGCAGGAAGCTGGAATTGGATGAGGAGCCAGAACTCAAATCTAGACACTATGATATGAGATGTGGGCATCCCACGTGGTATCTTAACTGTTGTGCCAAACATCTACCTCTGAAAAGTGTTTAAAAGGGCTATATAGAAATAAATGGCTATTTCTGGGGGAGAAAGCAAAGCATCTAGATGGAGGGCGGTCAGGAGGGTGTGTGTACATGTGGATGTGCACATGTGCTAGACACAGACATCTGAGACATATTATGATGTTCTAAGTTTTCACAAGGGTATTCAAGTATTATTTGCATAATAGAAAGTAATTAGAACAAAGATGTATACTATGACCACTGACCACTTCCCCTTGATGTGTCCATCGAACTTCAATAGTTTTCTGACAAAAGAAACAAGGTCAGTGAAATAAGAAATATCGCCAGGCTCATTGCAAAGACAGGAGTAGGAAAGATTTTTTTCTTTTAGAGTGAATTCCTTGTACTATGTTTCAGTGTGTTCAAATTCTTAATTTGCCCCAGAATTATTATTAAACTGCTATACTCTGTTAGAAGCAAAAACACACAAACAAAAGTCAGATAGTCTTAGGAAACCTATCTTAGTGCTAAGTACTATTAGCTAGTCATCTTACCTCTCTATAAAATGGGATAATAATGACAGCCAAAGGTATCATGTTATGGTTTATTTTTTCAGCTTTATGTATGCATAGGATTTTGGTATGACTTGTTAATACTTGAGATTGTATGTAGAAATTAGACAACATGTAATTTTATTCCATGAAGTAGTGGAACTAACAATGTAAGACCATAAAGTGAGAATGCATTACAGGAAGAGTGAACAATAAGGGAATTCATGGGGAAGGAAATCCATCTGGCTTAGGGTGAGAAGGAAACGCTCAAAGGAAAAAAATAAATATTGAGTGCAGGGAGAAGTGGTGGCCAACCCAAAGAGTCAGTGACTGTGATGTGTGCAGGGTCTGAAATTCATCACTTAGATCTGTAGGTTCATGAGGGAGTCTAACAAAAGGAAGTAAAGTTGAAAAACAAATGGGAAATCTCCTTTTAGATAGTTTATGTAGTAAAGCACTCCTCTTTTTGATTTGCAATAAACTTCTGGGCAGACTGAGACATAATAGGCTGTGCTCACTCAGTGGCAAAGCAAACTTATTAAAAGTTTTAAAAAATCAATAATTTATAGAGTGATACCAAATACTAAGTAATTGGTTTGGCATCCTTTCTCTTTTTTTGCCCTTTCAGAATACGCTGAATTTACTGATTATTCAGGCATTGTGTTACCGGTAGTTCTTAAGCCTGTCAGCACATTAGAATCATTTGCTGAGTACTTAAAAATACTGATGCCGGGCCAGCACCATGGCTCACTTCGTTAATCCTCCGCCTGCAGCTCCGGCATCCCATATGGGCACCGGCTTCTAAGTCCTGGTTGCTCCTCTTCCAGTCCAGCTCTCTGCTGTGGCCCTGAAAGGCAGTGGAGGATGGCCCAATTGCTTGGACCCTGCACCCGCATGGGAGACCAGGAGGAAGCACCTGGCTCCTGGCTTCGGATTGGCACAGCGCCAGTCGTGGCGGCCTTTTGGGGAGTGAACCAATGGAAGGAAGACCTTTCTCTCTGTCTGTCTCTCTCTCTCTATAACTCTATAACTCTACTTGTCAAATAAATTAAAAAAATATACTGATCCCAAAGCCCCACCCTTAAAGAGTCTGAGTTAATTGGTCAAGGGTAAGGCTTAGGAATCAAAAACATTCTAAAAACACCCTAAGTAATTCTAGTGTGTGGCCAGAACTGAGATGGCCTGGAATAGTTAAGATTTTAATTACTTAGAGATCTAGTTAGAATGCAAGTGCAGAACTGTTGAAATCTTCACTTAGTATATACTAAGTTGATCTTCTGTAGATAAAGATAATTAAAAATGAATCTTAATGAAGAATGGGATGGGAGAGGGAGTAGGAGATGGGATGGTTTGCAGGTAGGAGGGTGGTTATGGGGGGAAAACTGATATAATCCAAAAGTTGTACTTTAGAAATTTATATTTATTAAATAAATTTTTTTAAAAAATAAGAATGCTAATAACCAATCTAAAATATCTTTATGAAATTTGGTAAATGGTCGGTTGTTACAGCAAAGATTAACCAAATATAAATGGTTAGGAATTTAATAAATTTAAAATTACAGAAAGAATTCCCCATATGCCAGAAAAAAAAAAGAATGCAAGTGCTGGTTCAAAAGACCTGGGTTTAGGAGCTGAGATTCATTTTTTGTAACTAGCTTCAATGTAATTCTAATGCCACTGGCTTGTGGACCACATTCCAAGTAGCAAGAGTGTAAACACTCCTCTGTGTAACCGTAAATGCCACCTAGATCATGAATGTCATGATTTGGTTCAACTTCTCAGCCATTTGATCAAATTAGATTAATTCAGTCCAAATTTTTAAGTCAGTCCTCATACCACACATACACACACACACACACACACATAAAATTCTAAAATATTTACCAAAATTTCCAAAACTAAACCAATATTTTCCACAACAGGTATTCTAATAATTAATGATGTTAAGACCATTGTAACATTACATGTTAAAAGGAATTGTTTCATTCTATAAACATGAGGGAAACATTACTTCTTTTCTGATGGAAATCTGTTCAGGATGAAACTGGGTTAAATTGCCATGATATTAGACTCTCATGCTGAACCTGTCACAAGTGATTTTCTTTTCCATCAAGATTCTGCCCAACAGAGTTAAAAACCAGAAATGTCAATATTACATTAAAATGTTATTATCAAGTATACTTCATGTGAAGAAACAATTTCTCAAAAAATTCTCTGAGTTATATCTTCATGCTGGATGCTTACAGAAAGGCCTGCCCTTAGAACTGGAGCTCCAGGACACTGCTGGGAATAATGATAAAGTGATTAGAATTTTTTAAGCATTATCACTGTGATGTGGACTAGAA